CCCCCCCCCCCACCCGCCACCCCCTGCCTCCCCCCCCCCCCCACACACACACACACGACCACCACCATCCTATTCCCTCAGCGAATCCATAATGCGCAGTACACGCTGACATCAGCAAATGCGTATAGGCCGCCGATATCCTCAGCCAAAGCTTGTCAACATTTACCCAAAGAAAAGTCACTGCGGTATGTGAACATACCTTGTTTATGTCAAAACAGATAAATATATACACCACGCATGTAGTTACCTGAATACATGAATACATGTCACGAGTCGTATTCAGTTATCGGCCATGTGTTAGATAAGTATGTGCACTTAACATGTTTCACCCTCTTTAAATAAAGTTTATTATTATTATTACATACACTATTATCATTATTATTATCGGTGCGGGCAATATCCACATAATGGGAAGAAATTTTCCATAGGTATCGTTTAACCTAAAATATCTCGAACTAGGTAGCTTTAAATTAAAGACACATTGGCTGCAGTTGTTTGTGTACCGTAAAGTTTAAGCCCGTTCTATTTAGCTTATACCGGTAAATACGTGTATATATAATATGGAGAGAGTATTACTGTGATGGTAATGAAAGTAAGATCTAGGTTATGATCCTGGAACAGAATCTGGGTCTGTATTCCCCTGTTCAAGATTGATAAAAGAAGCTTGATTTCACTATTGGTGTTAACTCGCGAGGCAATTAAATTTAAACACAAAGAAACCATCTGATAAAAGAACGATGCATGTTCCTATCGTATTTTAGAAAGCATCCGAATCACTATCACAGAGAATCCAAATTCGGGGAAAACAGCAACAGTCTATCATCTTTTACTTTATTTACATATTTTGGTCTCCTAGAATTGAAAGACCACTTATTAAACCTTCTAAGGAATTTTTCCCTTTTTATCCATAACGCCACCAGATTTATTATATAATACTAGATTTATTATATAATATTCATCTGTGGTCTTGACGTCTTGTAATGGATATTTAAGCCCCTGAAGACTGAACATTATACCATAATATCATATTATGATATTATATATCATTTTTATCCGATCTCTTCGCCTTCAAAGCTGGAGGGTGACAACATTTGATAGTCAACATCATATTCATATATCAGGGTGAACGAACGTTAAATATTGAAACTTTTCTTTCTGTTACATACAGCAGTTGTGAGTGTGGGCAATTTTTTTCTTTTGCAAGCCCGGTGTAACGAAACTGAAGGTCCCTATAACAGAGAGTCTGCCCTCCATTAAGTTATAATGGTTAGGGTTAGCCTGGTCTAAATGGGTTAAAATCAAGGGGGGGGAGCTTGCCTGTATACAAATGAATGGGTAGAGGACTCTCTGTCACGTTACACCGGTGTAACAGGGGTTATATTGAACTTACAGACCAGCTCCATAAAAAGCGAGTTTGTCTGTCTGTTTTTACAGTTTACATGAAGATCGGGTTTTGCACTTGATAATCTTGAGGTTTCTAAGTTACCAATGGGACATCTCCTGTGTTTTAGTTACTTTTATCACTCTAGATCTCTTAAGGTGCATGTACAATTCAACTTTTATAGTTGCAAGAATAAATGGTAAAACTGAACTCCACTATGCCTATTGTCTTGATATTTCTTTTAAGTTAAGATTTTCTACGTCCATCGACAAAAAACGAAATTAATTAAGTTAAGGTATCAAAAACTAATTACGAATACCCTGTAGCTATTCCAGTAATTTATTTCACATTCTAGTCTGCAACGCATTTTTAAGCTGATGTTGCTCTGTTCGTTAATGGAATGAAGAAGGTTGCCCATAGACACAATGAGCAGATAACTTGCAAATGAGAAGAAGGAGAAAAAAAGTCTCACTTTCTTTGTGGTTTCAGTGCTCCTAATTATCCCACGCGCTGCCATAATGTCTTAAGGCATGTGCAGATTGGGTTTTAAAAAAGCTCGCTATAACTAGCAATAATAATAGCGTTTATTGTCTCACGGTGAAGTGATACCCCAGAAAGTGATGCCTCAGAAATTGCATATCATTCAAAACATCAAATCAAACAATAGCAAAATGTCACAAAACTATCAAGGTAGAAAAGCCCACAGACATCAGTGAATGGGATTTCTCAGAAACGTATTTCGTAATCACGATGTAGATCGGAGTGACAATTAATTCTCGGAATCGAAAGATACTGCATATTAAGATTAAGAGAATATAGTGCCATTGTAACAGGAATGGAAGTTCTAAGAATGGTAGTCCTGGGAATGGAAGTCTTAGGAATTGAAGTCCGAGCTCCTTTATGATAAGTGCAGGTTAGGGTTAGTTGGAGTACTGGGGTTATAGCACCTGTACAAAGTAATAGGGAACGGACTACGGTTCCTAGCGGACTACCATTCCTGTCACACCGGGCCGCAGTTGATCATGAATATGAATGACTATTAGCGTAGATATTTCTGTAAAGGTCTACAAAATCTCAATTTACATCTAAAATATATATAAAAAACACGAAATAACCTACTTAAGTTATCAATTGATACTTCAAGAGGTGAATATTTAACCGTAAAATCTAAGTAAAGCGTTTCCAACGACAGTTATTGTAACGATTATACAGGCTGTCTTCTGGGTCTTCCGGAAGACGGTCAAATTTTCAATTTTACACTGACGGGTTTCTACTTTTTGCTGTAGGAAGACGGTCAAAAATGGAAGATGGATCAACAAAGATAATTTGAAAGACTGTCAGAAAAAAAAAAACAAATCTGGATCCGTCCCTGGATTCTGGATTATATATATATATATATATATATATATATATATATATATATATATATATATATATATATATATATATATATATATATGGTGTAT